TCACAAGGGGTGCATGCATTTCTTGTGATAAGAATAAAAGTGATTAAAATTTTTTTTTTTAGAGGGGCACGTGGTGAGACGGGCTTCTGAGAAAACTTTAGTGACCTTTTCAGTAGTAGCAAGGTCAAAAGAGGAAAGTGTTGAGGGAGGTTTAGTATAAGGGATGCTAAGTGGGATAGATGTCTGTGTAGTGGAGATGCCCCTACGAATTGCATCAATCTTGTTTTTGAAATGATTTGCAATCTCATAAGCAGTGAGTTACTGGGTGGTGGAGGAGGTGGTGGAGAAAGTAGAGAGTTAAAAGTAGAGAAGAGACAACGAGGACTGAATGACAAGGTATGAATAAGAGTGAAAATGTAGGCTTGTTTGGCAGCATGAAGGGATGAATTGTATGTTAAGAAAGCAGATTTATATCGGGTGAATGCTTGCTGAGATTTGGTTTTACAGCAAAATCGCTCCAGTGCACGACTATGTCTCTTAAGATTTCTGATGTCATCAGTCTGCCACGGTTGTAATGGTTGGGGCCTGATACTCTGTGTAGTTAGGGGAGCAAGTGAGTCTAGTGTGGATGAAAGGGAACTGTTGTAAACAGCAGTGGCCAGGTCAGGGCAGAGATTCTGTCATAGAGGCGGTCAGTTGCAGAGTGGAAAAAAGAAGGGTTTTAGTTGTAAAGGTTTCTGAGGGTAATTGTTTGCTGCTTGGAGGGATAGGTGTTTGAAGACGAGGACACTGTGAAGGCGATGAGATTGTGATCAGAGAGAGGAAAAGGGGTGTTTGAGGTTGTAGGGAGTGCAAAGGCAGGAGAAAACAAGGTCTAATCATAAGACCTTGTTTTCTCAACCTAACCTCATCTTTTGCTTTAACACAATGGACACAGTCCTCCACTCACTCTGATGGGGAATACATTAGACTCTAATGTATTCCCCATCAGAGTGAGTGGAGGACTGTGTCCATTGTGTTAAAGCAAAAGATGAGGTTAGGTTGAAGAGCTGGGATGTAGCTGGGTTGTTCAAATTAATGGGAATGTTAAAATCTCCAAGAATGATAGTGGGTATTTCAGAAGAGAGAAAGTAGAGTAGCCAAGTAGAGAAGTCATCAAGAAAGCGCAACACCGATACAGGAGGCTGGTAGATTACTGGGAGAAAACAGCCGAATGCAGTTAGTCTCAAAAGAATAGAAGGAAAGAGAGGGAGGGTTCATTACCAAGATGTTTAGTTTTCAGTGCTGTGATAGTTTGACTGAGAATTACTTGGACATGCAACACTATCTAAATTTTAGATTAAGTTTGAGAGAGAAAAAGCTTTCTTTTGTTGGTAATTGCCACTTGGTTTATTTTACTATAGAAATATAAAAGGAACAAAACAAATCCCTAATTTTTGGTTATACAACATATCAGATCTCTCTTTAAAAATCTGGGCCAAAGTGTATTCAATTTTTTTTCTTTTTTTTTTTTAAATATACAAATTGATGAGTATTATGTGCTCTGTGTGAACGTTACTGCATCTACAAACTATAGTAAATATTTGTAAATTCATCAGCCCTGATGTTCTGGCTGCCTATTGCATTTCGTAAGGCCTTAAAATGCCAGACAGTCCAATGATTTAGTGAGCTCCTCACATTTCTGAAGGTCCTGAATTGTCAGGACAGTAAACACCCACAACAATCACCACACTGTGGGAATCAGACAGCCTACGGGTAAGAGGCATAGCGAGTCTTTAGATATTTTTTTTTAACACAAGTTTTTGGAAAATGAAGAAATTCAATGAAAATGTATTTTGTTGCAAAAAAGTTGTAATTTATATTAGCCATTTCCCACACAGCATAGATATGCTTAGATATACACCCCAAAAATATCCTGAAACTGCAAATTATGGGGATAATGTGAGAATTTAGGTTTGGACTGATTATGTTCAGGTCAATGTATCTCGTGTATCACAGAAATCAAACAGTTCCAAAAAAACTATACACTGTGTGGTATAACATAAAACAGCAAAAAAAGATAAAAAAAAAACAAGTGTTCAAAATAATAAAGTTCAAATGTGTGTAATCAATCCATCTCTGGAAACACTGGCTGTGATTTGCATTACCGAAAGCTCTGGTGCTGGCTGCATCTTCCAATCACCTTCATCAAGATATGCAGAATAATACCGCAGTGAGGTATTATAGCAGCAGAAGCAGTCCTATATGCAGAGACCCACATTTTAAGGGACAGTAGGGACAATAGTAATATGCATCATGCCCTACTTCCATCTTTGCTGCATACACTTTTCTGGGGTTGGCTTGTCTGCTTGGGTAGAGGGCACAAAGCAGCAAAATGTGACTACATCAGAATAAGGTCTTTCAGATGCATGGACTTCCTGTTAAATTTGGGCTGTTATATTATCTGAGATGGGATATTTATCTGGGGATTTAAAAGTTTATGGAAAGGTTTTAATTTTAAAAGAAATTGTTGAACAGCCCAACTTTGAGGAGCCTATCATGTCACGGAAGGCATAGAGTTGTCACTAAAATGCAAACATCTCATTTGATAGCATATCCCGGACATGACTGTAAAATGCATGGGCAAGTTGTTCATCAGATGCATGGACTAGTATGGATTTCAGCTGTTTTTTCTGGTTATTCCCATGTGCAGAGTCAGACTGAGAGACTTTTACACCCCCGGTCACACCGGGTGCGACTTGCAAATCACACAGCAAGTCGCACCCTACTGTCCGCAAGGGGTCATATCAGTGCGATTCCATCATGGTCAGAGCTGCACTGATTTTAAAAGTAGTGCATTCACAACTTCAGGTGAGACTTGCATAGACATCTATGTCTTGCAAGCCACACCTCAAGTCGGAATGACATCCAAGTTTGAAATCGTGCAAATTCACTGGAAGTGACACAATTTCAAAGTCTGATCGGTGTGACCAGGGTGTAAATTCTGAAACATATTGGCTTCCACTGAAACGGCCTAGCATAACTAGAACTGAATTACTGGCAATGAACAGTTGTGTGTAAAGGTCACATTCTTCTACAATTAAATCTAATAGTTGTTTGGGTGAAAATGTTCAGTTTCCACCTCATCTGGCTGGGCTGTAAAGATGGGGATGACAGGCACTACCAAAATAGAGGGTATCCATAAGGATTTGAAAATGCCTCTAGAACACTTGTATGGGCTCCCTGAGACTGTGTTGTCTATTCTTTGTACCTGATGTTGCAACACCAAACTACCAGTCTTCGCTTTGTGCATTTCTCCTGGATATCCAACGCTTGGTAACAGTATGCCTGACTTTGCAGGGAACTCTTCATCCTATAATCAGAGGCAGCCATTAAATGAATCAATGCTTTTTACAGTTTAGTACTCTAAATCTGAGTTTGAGATCTCTCCGCTGCTCTCATTAGCCATCCTAAAATTTTAGACACCTACTCACTACTTTTGTTATACATTCTTGTGGATATAAAGTACTAGTTATAATCAAGCACTGGAGCACATGTTGGAAAAATGGCTGCGATCAGCACCTATTCCCCTCAAAACTGCTTTGTGTGAGGGGAAGGGGAGAGCTGGCTAACTGCAGCCATTCTTTATAAATGTGTTTGCTTTGACTTGGCACAGCAACCACAAAGTACAGACCACCTTACTGACATTACATTCATGGCTGTCATAGCTAGTCTTAAAGTGGTAATTTTATGCTCCTACTCCTATGCATAATTTATTATTGATCCAATGTATTTTGTTTCTCTGTTCTCTAGCATGACCATATTTCCTCACATTTTTTAATACATCCCCTAGAAATTAGAAATGCTTGCATAACTAGCTTTTCCCAGCCACGTAGACCAGGAAATCATGGATTCTTTTGGGTCAAAACTACTATGCTAACAAAAAAAAAAAAAAAAAAACTAAAAAATTTGAATTAAAAGCCCATTTTCCAGCTCACTGACAATTTCAAAATCTAAGCAGCTGGGATATAAATATTAGGTACTGAAAAGTAATTTGCCATAAGGTTTGCAAAATCTGACCAGAAGGATCTTTTGCACAGTCCCATATGGGTGAAACCCTTTGATGATCATACATACGCAATGAAAATATTCTTGACGGGAAAAAAAAAAAAATAAAATAAAACCATCCAAGACCAAACTTGGAAGTTGGGTGATGCTGAGCATTTTCATATATAAGTAAGGAAACCAATTCTAACTACTGTTACTGTAGCATAACAGGTAAGAAATGGTCCTAATACAGATTATAAAAAGAAAAGTATTTGAAGCACAAGATCTGACCCTGAAGATCATGAAATAAGCACAGATCTATCCATTGGGAAGTACAGTGTACCAATTGCTCTGGACATTTCTAAAAAACCTTTCCATTTTAAAATCTCAAAAATAAAAAAGCACCTACTGCAACAAGCTTTAAATACATTTTTTTTTCTTTCCCTCAACATCATCGCAGCCCTTAAAGTAAGTTTAATCAGAGCAGCAAATACTTCAAGGGTTACCAATACAACTGGTAAATAAACTATGCACTATTGAACTACTACATAAGCACAAATTGTAACTCTTTCAGAGCTAGTTCACACCACATGGATTCCAGTACTTTGTTTTCTGCATCCAAAATGCATAGAAAGTAGGTTACATGGTTTGCAATGGCATAGTTCACACCAGTACTTGAAGTTCCAGGAAAAAAAAAAAAAAAAAAAAAAAAAAAAAAAGTAGAACATGCTGCATTTGTCCTGCACAGAACTGTACTGGAATGTGGTAAATAAAAGGCATTAAAAAAACACAGGCATTAAAACAAATAAAACATGCACTGGACCCCAATACAGTGGTGGGGGAAAAAAAAAAAAAAAAAAACTAATCTGGAATGCATCTGAAAACACACAAAAACACACATGCAGAAATGCATCCGGAACAGATCTCGAGGACATTTTTGTGGTGTGAACTTGCCCTTAAACAAAATTTTGCATATTTTTAAAAGCACAAAGTGATTCCCTGAGCATTAAACTTCACCTATGAAGTTTACTTACCTGTGTGGTGGAGGGAAGCGTTGCTGAGAATAGGTACTCCCCTGCTGTGCCCCTGATGCTGAATAGGATGATCCTTGCTGTTGTGAAGTTGGGTACTGAGGAGCTTGTTGGGTATATGGTGACTGGCTTTGTGAACTGGTGGGGGGACCCTGCTGCTGTTGCTGTGTGTAGGGTGAAGGAGATGGGGACTGCTGCTGTTGGGTAAAATTGGGCTGCACAGGCTGGCTGGAAGGAGGCTGGGACGAAGAAGTCTGTTGTTGGCTGTAAGATTGGGGAGCTGGTTGCTGCTGAGAATACTGGGACTGTGGTGGTGTTTGCTGCTGCGGAGGGTGGAGTCCCTGTTGGTTGTAGTATGGAGACTGGCTCTGCTGCGAATAGGGCCCTGGGCCCTGTTGCCCATATGAAGACATCTGAGAAGATTAAAAAGAGAAAAAGGCTTTAACAACATTCAAGCAAAAACAAGCACATTCCATAAAACTTTAGGTCATATACAAGATTTTCCCCAGCAAGGCTTCCAAATCGGTCAAGGCAAAGATACCAATTGGTGTTCTCATCAAATAAGTAATCTTATTTGAGAGCTTGTTCACATGTCTATTGAGCTGCATTTTCTGCACACCGCTGAACAAGAAGGCAAAAAAAAACCCCCACAAACGATGTGCTCTGCTCAGGTCATATGTCAAGCCCTTGATGTTACACTATTTACATATGCCAACTTTTTTCCCACCTGTGTGTCATGTAGCATCTAAAAAGAAGAATAAAATGTATATGTTCACTTTGAGCTTTACCATTCCCCTATATCTGTGTTTCTCAAACTTTCAGTCAAGGCACCCTTTAAAATTCTGCACACAATCTTGAGGCACCCATTAGGCTGGCCATACATTATACAATTTCCTTGAGATTTTTGGTTTAGATTTACCAAAAACCATATAATAGGAGATAAAACCTAAACAACACCTTCAATTGTATCCAGTTAGGCAGGCCCTTGCACTACATAGTTGAAGGTAAATCTAAAGGAAATTGGACAGAAAATTGTATAGTGTATGGCCAGCCTTACAAAACGTAAAAAACTAAACTGATAGTTTTACAGAACACAGCAACATCCACACATGTAAGACACTCAATGTTAGAGGGGATTTATTCTTTCAAAGCCAGTACACTTTTGCACACTGGTGCTGACTAGTATTCCAGTGTTTCTCTTCCTCAGCTAGTGTGACACCAGTGCTTAAGGAAAGGGGCAGAGAAGGGGAAAGCAAGGATGCTGTGCAGGTGCCTCATGTCCTTATCAACTGATGACATCATTGGTTATGTTGCCAGCAGGTATAAAGTTGTAATGGTGCAACATGTAAACCTGTGGTTTTGTGTAACTAGGCAGTCTTGATCCCTGCTGGCTTGCACACAATTTTTGGACAATTTTTAGGCATTTTGTTAAGGCACCGCTGAAGAAACCTGAGGGCAACCCAGCTGAAAAAGGCTACCCTAGATTACATGTGGTTTCTTGTGGTAAATATATGGAGGTGTGCAAATTATGTAAGCACAGATTTATTAAATTACAAGAAATGCACTGGAAAAAAAACACATGTATCCAAATTTGCTACCAATATAGTCCCAATAGAAAACTATGCATATTACAGTAGGGTAGACTACAAAACCTAAAAAAGATGTGTGGAACCAAGACATCAAAAGAAGGAGAAAAGGAAAAAAAAAACCTAAATCACACAACAACATGCTCTGGGACTAAAGGGGATTTACTCACTCCACCAGAAATATATTAAAAGTAGCCCAGAGTTGGGCTTTCAGTAGGGCTCCAATTTACAAGGATATATACTGCACCTGTTGTCCATACTGTATGCCCATTCCTCCTTGAGGCCGACCCTGCATGGCCATTGGATATCTCTGTGGAGTTTGTGAAGAATAAGGCTGCACTGGATAACCAGAGTGTCCTTGTTGAGGTCCTGGCTGCTGGCTGTAAGGATTTGTGGAGCCATATGGTTGGGGTCGCATCTTCCCCATTTGATCCATGGGACTGGCAGGCTATAAAGACAAACCAATGATAATTTTCACGTATTTAATCCTTATAAATCTAATCCCTTCAGTACCACCATAATAGAAGTGGATCAGCAAAAACAGCTGCACATACAATCACACGTTTGTGGTTATCTATACATTGTACTTAAAATGACATACATCTCAACAATAGCCCTTTCATCAAGTTCCGCTTTCCAAGAAACTACAGCATGCTGCTTTGTAATCTGACAGGTGCAGTTTGTTGCAGAATTTTGTGCAGGCAGTGTTGGAGGGTGACTACATGGAAGGCCCGTGTTCCCACAGTAATTAACCTGCTTATTACTTCTGGGACTATCCTGATGAAGGCTGGCGGTAAGAGCTATTTATAACTGGAAGGGCAAACTGCCGAAGTATAACAGGTCCCAGCTGTACACCCATCTGAAGTGCGGCCAAGAGCCGGCTGTCTGGTGTTGAACATTGGCAGGCAATGAATGACAGGATCTGTGCTCTGGGGACACGAGGTAAGAGGGGGAGGGGGGAGCCATAACTGCAGCACTATATTTGCCCTACTGAACTAGCCACACCTAAAAGCCAATGCCCTGTCCCACACAAGGAGGAAAGAAAATAGGAGGTAGCAAAAACTCTGGAACTGATATTTGGACACATGGCTAATTTGCATTTCTGGCAAGATTGGATCTAGTGTGCACATGAAAAATAACAGCTAGGAAAATCAAGATCTGTCTTCTTAGATTGTAAGCTCCAAGGAGCAGGGCCCTCCTATCCCTCTTGTATTGAACTGTATTGTTGCTGTATTGTCTCCCATTATATTGTAAAGAGCTGAGAAAACTTGGTGCTATATAAATCCTGTATAATAATAATAATAATAATAATGACATGTAAAGCTGAATTTACAGTTTCACTTTGGCTGCTCATACACTGATGGGTTTTTTTCCCCCCTCGTCACCATCTATGCACTACAGTGCAGATGGACAATTTTCTTTCTGAAGTTAAACTGTTTAATGCATTGCAACATCGCACCACCACGACACAGTGCGCAGGCATCACACAAAGAATAATGAGTGGGCTGTGTGAACAGGCCCTTAAAAAGCTACCTGCAGGCATAAGCTGAAATCTGTGTCACTTAGCCACATTCCTCCAGATCAGAGAACAGACAATCTTCCAGTTCATAAAATAGACACGTCTATGAGGTACACTGTAGACACATGCAGCAGTCAGCTCTCAAGAGGGGAAAAAAGAAAAAACAAACAATCTCTAGGACAAGATGGTTGTTGCATCTTAAGGCAACCCCTTGAAGGATAAAAAAGGAAAAAAAAAAACAGATTTTGCTGCAATCTTAAAGGTAAAGTTCACCTTTGGGAACACGTTACGTTACACGTCTTTAGGGTGAAACATGTAACAGGTTCCCTTAGCTGCAGCCGTGCCGCTGCCCACTGACATAGTACAGGGAGACGTTTTCAGATTTGAAAACCGAGTGGCCATGTGGGGCTCCACCCACAAAGAGTTCTGTGAATGAGTGCCTACAAGTCCCGGCAGCTTCAGCGGCTGTCAGCTTGTAGTATGGCAAGCAGATATTCTGACAAGTCTGCAGAAAACCTGCATGGCATCAGCAACCTACTGATCGCTGGTGCAATGCTTTCCAGGCTCCTGCAGACAAAAATAATAAATGCACTTTTACCTGCAAAAAATTGAGCATTTATTATTTTTTTTCTGCAACTAGAGGTCCTCAGTCTGATGGCCAGCATCATTCAACCCACTACCTCCGAGCTTAGGGCATCCTGGGCCCACTCCAGTCTCTTACTGGAAAGTAAAAGTCTTTTAGGGCCAAAACGCATTCCGGATAAGTTTTTGCTCACAGTTCACACCACACGCAGTTCTGGTGCAGTTTGCTATTTTCCAGTATGGTTCTGTGCAGAAAAAAAGCAGCATGTTCTACTTTTTTTTCTGCACCGGTGTGAACTAGGGCCATTGGAATACATGGAAAACACTATGCATGCATTTGTGATGCAGAAAAAAACTGCCCTGAACTGCATCTAGTGTGAACTAGCCCTTAGACTGCTTTCTCTGGTCAGCATACTTCTTGCCAGCACATGAATTGATACATTTCTTTTACTGCTATTTGCACTCCCACTTTAGCTCCTCAAAAAAGAGACTGCATGAGGCCAATACCAGGTCACATTTAGGTACTTGCATTAAAAGACACTTATTGATGTATTACAGTGCTGCATTAATACATCTTTCTACCTAAAGTTCAGCTTTTAAAATCAGTCCCTTCAAATGCCTGCACAGGTTCACCTGTATGTAGATTAAAACTATGGGGTCACATCCTTAACCCCTTCACACCTAAGGGTAAAACAATATAAATGCCTAAGCACAATTTTGCAACGTTGACATGTGTTAGTAAAATCGTACATATCATCACAACTACTTTGTACATCCAGGTGAATTATACCTTGTTTTTTTTCAGGACAAATTGGGCTTTCATTTGGTGGTAAATGGTAATAGATATCTCCCGATTTTTTTTTTATTATTAAAGGAAAACTGGCCCAAAATAGTAAAAAATAAATAAATAATTGTTTTTAATTTAGCTGTGTGTTTCTTGTTACTACCATAACCTACCACCAAACAACCCAAAATAAATTTTCCAGCTCTTAATGATCGCAGCGGTACCATATATGTGTATGTTATTTGTACCCATAGTACAGCCCAGAAAAAATAGTGCACATTTTGTTTTAGGTTTACCTAAAACACACTGACACTGATACAAATTTAAAAAAAAAAAAAAAAAAAAAGCCTTACCCTTTTGACCTTGACCTTTGAACACTAATCCTGGCACTAAACTAGATCAAACCTTGATCTAGGTATTTTTTCTTTATTTTTAATATTTATCTTTTTTTCCCCTCTATGCAAGGAGTTAGAGAGATACAATGTATCTCTCTCCTCCATTCATAGAGGAGAAAAAAAAACAAGGGGGACGGGCTATACAGTGACTGATCACTGTGATAGCCAATCAGAGGCTATCACAGCGATCATGTGGCCCAGAATCGAAAGTCCCAGGTCTCAATTGTTAGACCGGGACCCGGGGCTCTCAGTGACACCCCACTCTTTGTGCTGGGTGCGTACTATGCGGTGCACACCCAGCAGAAAGACAGGTATGCAAATATGCGGCCCCACAGATAAAAGCCCAGTTCTGTGAGGCCGCATATTTGTGTGACGTCGGTGCGAAGGGGTTAAGAAGACCATATACTGCTTGAATTTCTCCCTCCTCCCCAAGTGCCCACCATAGCAAGCCGCTTGCTATGGGGTCACTCATGCAGGCACTCTCCTGAGCCAGTTCCAGTTGTCTAGAGACACACAAGGCGCAACTCAAAGGTTTTTTTAACTTAAAAAATGGAACTTCAACCTAAAAAGGGCAAGTTCGGCTTTATACCCCTCCCCCCCCCCAGCTCACGGCATGTGCAGTGGGGCAGCTAGATGTGAAGCCACAAGGAATCATAGCCGACGACCCACAGTAAACATACCAGCACCGGGGACCCACAAAGCAGCGAAGAATTGGTTCAGGTGATGACAGCGCTGGACCCCTGGATTGGGGAGTGTCCTTTTATTTAAAGTCAGCAGCTACAGTATTTGTAGCTGATTTTTCTCAAGCAAGATGAAGAACTGATTTAATGTAGGGAATGCATCACGTTTAAACCTTCAGTCTTTAGAACCACTAACCAATCCAAATGCACTTTGACTACACAGTGAATGGTCAACACTAGAACGTCTGTATTTATGTATATTTTCTTTCACAATAGCAATTTATCAAGTTACAAGCAGAAGAAAATAAAAAAATCACATTAAACATGATAACTAAATAAACCACAACACACACTGCTGGTCTGCTAGTGTTTCATTTTTTTAATGGTATGTTTGTAGTATATAGTGATTGTTAATATAGTTATAAATATTAACTAGTTCTGTGTGTTAATATAGGTATTTTAGGCATAAATAAAAACTTGTAAGCTACCATTGGACAAGCACCCTGGCCTGACACAAGTATGAACCGAGTTGAAGTTTGTACACAAAATGTACCATAGAGATGACTGAATAGATTTGAGACAACATCGGACACCCATGTATTTGTATGGACTAGCGGATGATCATCTGTTTACATCCCTTAATGTCTGCATCAGTTAACATCCTTTTTACGAATGGAAGAAAATCGTATTTTTTTTCTTCCGTAAAAAAAAAAAAAAAAACCATAACGGACGAAAAATGGGTGTAAACTGATGGAAACGGAAATAAGGTCGGTTTTTGCATTGGTAAAGGATGTAAAAAAAAAAAAAATGGATGTAAACAATGAAAACTGGATGTAAACTGATCTGTTTTTTCTTGGGAAAAAAAACGTGACTCACTGATGAAAAAAAAGGAGGGGGGAGAGATAGGGAGCTAAAGTTTGTGTATGGCAGGCTAGTACCAAATATCCTCTCTTCAATTCCCATTATTACCTCTCATGCTCAATTTACACGAAGCAAACTACTGATTTCAATGCAAAACTTGTCCACAGCTTCTTCATGGGTTTGATATTGAAGCCAATTTTATTTAACCACTTTCCTGCCGCCCTATAGCAGAAATACTGCTAAAAGGGCGACAGGGTTGCGCAAAACCACACAAACATACACACACGTGATTTTGCATTTCCGGGTGGGGGTGCGTGCCCTACCCATGCTGCTATTGGTGGCTTTAGCTGTCGATCACCGGGTGCCGGCCAGTGATTCCCTGTCGGCACCCGGCGATTGCCAGCTATCACTGATGGGGGAGAGACCTGTATGTAAACAAAACAGATCTCTCCACTGTCAGCTCCTGCACACTGCTTTGTATGGTTCTGCATAGCACAGCAATACAAAGCAATGTGCTGACAAAGTAAAGCGCACACACAGCAAATCAGCACAGTTAACCTTTTGTTCACCCCAGATGTTAACCCCTTCCTGCCCAGTGTCAGTGCTTTCTCTCTTAGCACTGATCACT